TTGTTTGGGGAGGGAGGTTAACTATTACTTGCAGTGGGATCTAATCTTAATGGATACAAGCATGCAGCGTGAAAATGGGAGGAAAACACATCCCCACGGAGGATGTTAGCCTTGGAGGAAGGAAAATCAGATTGAGAGGGAAAAATCAAGGGATACGAGGAAAACCAGGAGGAAATTATACCTGGAAAGCTAGAAAATATCTAAAAGGGAGAAATAAAGGTCTGACTTTAGATCTTACTGAACTGATACAAGGACCAAGAAATGTCTCATGTTTCTCCAATTTGATGTGCATAGGAATCATTTGGAGTCTCATTAACACACACAATAGGATTCAAGAAGTCTGGGTGTGGACGTTCAGGTGATGTCGATGTCAATGCTACTGGTACACCTGGAGGGGCAAAGGTTGAGACCAGAGTGGTTCTCAAAGTACGGTTCTTGTACCATCAGCATCACCAGGAACCTGACAGAGATGCACATTCTTGGCCACACCCCAGACCTACTGAATCAGAGGGAGGGGAGGGGAGGGGAAGGGGCCAGGGGGGATGGGGATAGAGAGGGCAGAGGTGGGGCGGTGGGCGGCAATGTGTTCCAACCAGCATGTCAGGTGATTCCGATGCCCACTGAAGGCTGCCAACCACTGGTGAGAGCAATAATAACAATAATAATAACAACTCCCACAGACATTGAACGCCACCTGTGGGCCAGCCCTATTAACACCTTTTTTACATCGTCTTCTTAGGCCCTCACAACAATCTATGTTACCAATGAGGAGAATAAGACGGACGAGGATGGGTGCTTTGCCAAGGGCACACCACTAGCAGGTGGTCGATCTGAGAAACCACGTTCAGTGCTCAGGACGCTTGGCCAACTCTGCTTCCAGGGTCAGCAGGGCCATCGCTATAAACAGTTCCAGCGAGTGTGAAGTCAGAAGCCAGACTGCAGCAGCTTTGGAAGTGAGGAAGTGGAAAAGTGGATGCAGAATGCTTCTTCAAAAGCCTAGGCTTTGGAGGAGGAAAGAGGAATAAAGAACTGGAAGGTAATGGAGGGCCAGTGTGTGTTTCTTGCTTGCTTGTCTAAGAGGGGGATCGCTCTGAACTAAAAGAGGAAGGGAGGATCTCAAGATACAGGGATGAGATTTCAAAAAATCAAGCCTGAGCACATCAGGGCAGGATGAACGAGGAAGGAGAGACAATGGATTATGTTAGGAGAGCTCGGAGGGGATGGGACATTTTTCCAGGAAAGGGGGGAGGCTGAGGCAGAGGAGAATAATGAACTTTGAATACCTGGTGGGCTATTACATGGAAGGGGAACAAATCTTATTTTTATGGCTCAAGAGGGTGGACCAAGGGATGAAAGTTACAGGGGATAGATTTCATCTTAAAATGAGAAAGAACGGTCTAATGATTTAAGTTATTTGGAAACAGAATGACTTGCCCTTTGAGGTGGTGATTTTCCTACAGCTGAAAGCACTTAGGGAGAAGCTATTTGACAGCCAGGAGGCAAGGTGTATAAAGGATTATTCCTCTGAGTTCACTGGGGGTTTTAACTATGTTGAAATTTTATGCTGTGTCCCTGCACTGCCTGTTCCATTAATAAACCACTAAAGTATAGTCCTGCTTACGGTGTAAGAAGGATTTTCTTAGTGTAGTTTACATCTTGGAGCCTTCTTGCTCTACTTTACAAGTAATGGAGATTACCTACATCTCTGACATTATCAAAACAATTCATGTGTTTGAAATAATTTAAGTCACCACTTAGACTTAATATTAGTGATTCTGAAGCCTTGCTTTTTTTTCTTTCCCCCAATGGATCCTGTTTCTAAGCTCCCATTCATTTATTTTCTTTTCCTAAGTGATTTGGACTATATAAACAAGTGACTGGATTTTCTTGTCATGCTAAACTGAAGTCCTTTCACAGATACTGTTCGGAGCCATCTGTAGACATCACCATGACTTAATAGATGGAATATCTCTTCTCCCAGAAGATGCCATTATTTCCAAGGAGGGAAAATAATCTTTTGATAAATTTATGAAAAGAAAACCACAAGAGCCAGCAACATCTCAGCAAACCCCAAACTGACCCTACAAGGGCTTGATCTGTTCTTTTTTTCTCATAGCCTGAAGACCTCGCCATAACCTGAACTTTCTGATCTCTCCACTGTGGAAACCGGGCCATTGGAGGGGAAGCCCAAACTAAAGCCCTTTTGCCTTCCAAGAAAATGAATGCCACTCACCAGAGTAGGTGGTGGCTTTTTAGCCCAGTGGTACAAGAGCAGAACACTGGACGGCAACACCATCTGTTCCACCTGCTGTGCAGAACAGTTGGTCCAGTGCCCATAGTGTGGATTGCAACTAAGACTGGGCACTTACAGAACTGCTGCTTCCTCTTGGGTTCAAATTCACTGCAACAGCAAGCACTTTGTGAAACCTAAACTTAGATTTTGCAAAACGCCCAGAACTTTCCATCTCTTAGAGTAAACTGGAGAATTAGGGCACCGACCCTTTGTTCTTGGCTTGTGAATTTGAAAAGATGGTTTCTAAGATTAAGTTTTTACCTTGAATCACAATATATGGGGGTGCTTTTGAGCAGAATGTCTTTCTCTTCACATACCTTTGTAATATTTTGTAGGATATGGTGATTGATCTATAAGTGTATATACACACATGTGTATATATGTTGGATATGTATGTGTGCACATATATGAATACATAATATATATGAAATTTTGGATATTTACTTCTGAAGCTTCAGATTGAAAGTAACACTTCCACTTGACATATTGTCACATGATATGTGCACGCACATATATTATTAGGAACATGTCAGAAAATGTAAGGAACTTAAACCAAACACAACCCAGTCTTTAGAAATACTTTAAAGAGAAACAATACCTCATATGGCAGTATTATACTGCTAATATTTGAGTCCTTCTCATGTATTTGAAGTTCAATAAAATTTACAAACAATGTAGGCAGCATTCTAAGATTCTAAGGTGACCCTTGAAAATAATTTGTTGGTGGCACATACTACCATGTGTCAGTGTGTTTCAAAAACTGCTCTACTTTTTTCTCGCCTCTTAAAGTACCAAATAATCCTCAAATGGCCCTTGAAAATGTATTTGTAATACAATCATGACATTTTAATTAAATTAGAATTTTTGATAAGGTCATCATTCTTCAAAAAATTTGGAAGAGCTAGTTTGAGAACTGGTCTAAAAAGGATTTTTTTCTGATTTAATTCCTGAGTTTTTTTTTTTTTTTTTTTTTGTGAATCTGTTAGTTTATCTGTTCTATCTCTTCTGAGAGAAGGAAAGAGCATTTTCAACCTCGTGCCTTTGGAAGCAGGGCTGTTAACAGTAGACCACTAGGAGGCAGCATGGAACCGGGAATCAGGAGCCTTGGGTTTGGTTCTGCTCAGCGCCAGCTGTCTCCACAATTGTCCTGTAAACTCTCTTGAGTGTCAGTTTGCAAAGCACAGCCACATGCCACAATTTAGATGTAGCCTGTGTTGTTTTTACAATTTGGTGGAGACTGTGACCCACTTGGAAGACCTGATATACGGGGTGGGGTGGACATGGGTTGGGAACACAAGGGTAGGCCACCAAAGGTCTATTTGTGTGAAAGAAGCTGGAGCCTCCCGGGGACTCTCCATTCCAAGGTGCAGTGGTTTGGTCCAAGTACAGGGAGAGTGTTGGGAATGGAAGGGACTTTGAGTACAGCCAAGGGTATGTTGCTTACCGAGTTCCCTAGCTTCCTCCTACACCTAATGTGGGATGGGATGTGGTCAGTTCTTAGGACAGGGCCTATGCCGATAAGTATCATTCCATTAATTTGTAGGAAGATATTCCTGACTCAGGGATCAGAACATTCCTATCTCTGTGATCAGAGCATTCTCCCTTTGGGCAGACTGACATGAAAAACCAAACAATGATCAGAAAGGTGCTGGGTGACGACTGTTGAATAGGTTCCAGACATGAGGCATCTGTCTCCCACAGACATGGTCTTGGTGAGACCAGACACTGGAAATCTGGTAGCTAAAGCTGCCTTCCCTTCTTAGTGCAGCATACACGCAGTCCATTGGTTTTATCCACAGGCCTGGGAAAACTGGTTATGCATCTTAAAAATAACTTGAATAAATTCCTCATTTCTCCTCTTAGTGTTGTGCTTCTGTGGACTCATCAAGCGATAACATGGCCCAATGATAAAGAGTTCCGTCAGTGGAGCCGGCCAGCCTGGGTTCACACTGCAACGCTGTGGCCTGCCATGCCAGCTAGGCAAAGCATCCCATCTCTCTGCGACTCCCACCTTCTTCATCTCTAAAATGGGGTAAGTCATAGTATCTGTTTTCCAAGACGATCATGAAGATTAAATGAGTTAGCACACAAAGCACTTGACAGAGTGCCTGACATGTAGCGAGCACTTACATTTTAGCTCTTTTGAAAATGCACTTGCCTATTTCCTTTGCAAATATTTTTTTGTGACCTTAATGGGTCTACTATAGGCAATGACTTTCTGTGCTCCCTAACAGGGTGGTATTATAACATGGCCAAGAATTTAATATATGCAAATACACACCCTGATTAGTTAGTTCACATGGCCTGTTTTTCAGCAGAACTATTTTATATATACATGCTGATTAGTTAATTGACATAGTTAACTTTTTAGCAGTAGTATCATCACTATTATCATCGTAATGAATCACAATGCTAAAATTAAACCTTTTTTTTTCTATTAATGAGCATGTATTGCTTAGGCACAAGAAAATAAATATTTATTCCTGGTTGAAGTCTTTTTTCAACTATAGAGTGGTGGCCTTCAAAAGGAGACAATCTATTGATCACTTCCTGAGTTGAGCCATAGGAAAAAAAAAAAAAAGGAAGAGAGAATCGGAACGTTGGGGACATGTTTTGCATGCGTTAGCAAAGTCCGATGTGAGCTTTCTACGTTAGTGTGTCAGGATATGTTGTGCTATCTTCGTCTCATTCCTGCTAGAAGGTCAGAGTAAATGAAGAAAACAAACAGTCCCAAAGTACTGGGTAAAAGTTGCAAAATAAAAATAGAGGACAATTTTAAAACACATTAATGAAAGTTATTTAGCAATTCTAAGTAGATGCAATTGGATTTGCTTCTTTTGCAGTCGGTTTTGAATCATTTAATTCATGTAAAATATATTATCCCAGGCAATTTTTTAATCTCATCTTTTGAGGGTTTAAGACTTAATAAGCAGCAAGCTAAAACTGTAGTTAAATGTGTAAATCATTTGCACAAATAATCGATAATAGGATTTATTAGGGAATATAATAGCCAGTCTAACACTTAATCTTGAGTAAATGAATAATTTGTGAAGTACTTCATGACTTTTCAGGAAATTTATAATCACACGGTTAGATTTACATCAGAGCTTTGGGTAATTTCAGAATATAAAATAATAAAAATATTATAGGATGAATTCTTGAAATTTGAGATAAAAAGAGCATGATTGATGTTATGAAATCAATGTTTTAATTATACTTTCTTTAGCTGTTAGATTATATCCACTGCCTTTTAATGCCAACTTTTGTGGTTTAAAAAATCCCCTTCATCTCCGTTTCCAGCCCCCTTTCCCTGCTGTTTTACCTTTGCAGAGTTGCCCATGTATACCATGAGGAATACCAGGGGCAGGTCAACAGACACTGCCATTAAAAGCAAAGGCAAAAGTCAACATTTATTTCTTCATACTTTTCAATGAGGGTGGTATTTATGATTTGGTGTAAGAACCGCACTCTCCTGCTGAAAGTAGTAAGAATGGGCTAGAGTTCTCAGAGAGGCCCCCTGAGCACCCAGAGGCAATGCCTAGGGTGAGAGTGTCTTCCATGGGTCTCCAGGGACGGTGGCTTGGCTCTCAGCTGAGTCAAAACTCAATTCGGTCCATATATCTGGATAATCAATCTCTTGGAGACTCACATTAACCGAATCATCTGAAAATGATGCATAAATCAGAATCCCAATTAGTTAAGTTGCAGTGAAAAATACGTACTCTTTCCTGTTACCACAATTTCTGAGCTGGCCAGGGGTGGTGTGCCATTCTGCTCTTCATTGTGACCAACGGACCAAACATGGTATTTTGCACATAGCAGCCACCCAGAAGGTATTAACTAAATTTAAAGGAGAGACAGAGAGAAAGAGAGGGACACACACACACAAACACACACACAGAAAGGGAGTAAGACTGAGGAGGAAAGGATATAGTTCCAAGTAGAATGTCAACCAAATCATCAAAGCTTACTGTTCCATCCCACTCCCCAGGCAACATAGTTGTGATCGACTAGTTAATGCTACTTCATAGTACTTATTTACATTCCTTTTTTTTCTCTTGAGAAAAAAGAAATGAATTCTTTCAGTCTTTTTCATTCTCTTTATAATTCAGCCTTTCTGCAGAGAGATTACCTTATAACTGGTAAAAATGTCAACTTTTCCAAATAAACCATTCCAGCCCTACCTCTTGGACTCAACAATGGTCAACTTGCTCGAACTTCCCAAACCTCCCTGGACACATTTTAGTAGACAGTCTCTTTGTTCTTTGAGATAGTCTCCTTCCAGATTCAGGATCCCCTTCTTCACCTGTATGTTCCATCTACAAAGAGTGTCCTGAAAGAAGAATGAGTGCTTCTTTGAGTCGAAAATATATTTCAACACATCTCCCCACCCCGATAACGAAAGGTAATGGCAATCCCATGTCAGTACCCAGTCCCCCCAGCCAGCAAAACGAAAAAAAAAGAAAATCTTGTTCCAATTTGTAAATTCCTGTATTTGAAACTTATTGCCGCTTGTGACCTCACAATTATGCATGGGCATTGACAGTACAAATTTCATCTTCTCTGACATTTTGGAACCCAGGATTGTGCAACAGTTTTCTATGTTAAAAAATCAAGTAATAATTCCCTCATTCTAACTCTTGGCCCAAATCAGACCTCTGCATGTGTCAAACAAAGAACCACTGAACTGTCAACTGAAGGAGTCCATGGCTGATGAATTACCTGCAAAGCTCTGAATCCTGCTTCGAAAGTATACACGAAGCACAGGACCTGATAGTGGCTGGTGGGTGACACCAAGGAGTCCTCTGAGCCTATTCCTGTCCTGAGTCACAGCCTCAAACACATCATGGAGCTGGCAGGGACCAGGCACAGAATTCAGACTTCCTCTCTTAGCCTTCTTTCCCAACAAATGTCTAGGGAAATTTTCCCTGTTAAGGCTATTATTATTATCTTCATTATTCACACTAAAAATAATAAAGATAATATTGAGACTTAAAGTCATTGTGATGATGCTAATAATGACTAATATTAATCAAAAGTGTCTTCTGGCCCAATCTCTTCCTAGTATTTCATAGATATTGTCTCATTTCATCTTCAGAACAACTCTATGAAGTATTATCTTTTTCATTATACAGATGAGGAACTTGAGGCCTAGAAGATTAAAAGAAAAAAAAAACTTGCTTAAGATTAAGCAATCACACAGCAATTAAGTGACATTACCATTACTGGACTTCTGGATTGTTCAACCCCTCATTTCTTTCTTTTTTTTTTAAAGACTTTATTTTGTTTATTCATGAGAGACACACACAGAGAGAGAGAGAGAGAGAGAGAGAGAGAGAGAGAAACAGAGACAGAGGCAGAGGGAGAAGCAGGCTCCATGCAGGGAGCCTGACATGGGACGGATCCTGGGTCTCCAGGATTACACCCTGGGCCAAGGCACGCTAAACTGCTGAGCCACCCAGGGTTGCCCTCGACCCCTCGTTTCTTAACTAGTACTTTTGACCTCTCCTATAGGAAATCCCAGTAGGGAAATAAATCATTTGCATGACACAGGCCAGCAAGAGAATCTCAGATTTCTAAAAATCTCATTAGACCGTTTTTTTTACATTTACCTTTTGGTCAATTCTGACTTATTCGGGGGCCAATATGGCTAGCTAACCTCCTAGGTTCACCTACCTTTATGCTCTACTAAACTTTTTTTATCACTTTCGGATTTACATCCCACCCTATCAGAAGGGAAGGAGGGAAACAAAGAGATAGAAGATAGAATTAATTGTGTTACCATAACAGCTTTGGGTACAGCTGAGAGACTTTGAAACTAATGTATAAAATTAAGCTTCAGGATTATCTACTTCTTTATACTTCATTCATCTGGATATAATGAGATGAGTCAGTCAGTAGCCAAATCCTACTTACAATTGTGATGTAAGTATTAGAAGAAAAGCTTCATATATTACACTTCTGCCATTGTTGCCCTAAGAACATTTGCTTTATGTTTTCTTTTTTATAGTTGGAAATTCTGTAACTTATGAATAGCATTTACATGCTCTGACACCATAGCCTTTCAATTTCTTAGTATTGACCCAGCCCTTAACATGTTTATAAAGGCAAGCTAATGCATCAATTGCTTTGATATTTATTTCAGCCTATTATCTTGCTTTTTTATGATTTTTCAGATATTAGGAACATTAATAACAGACAGGTATGCAGGCAAATGAGAGTCTATCCTCTGTTCAGTGGCACCTAGAGAACGCAACCACAATTTCCCTCGATATTTCTTTCCAGAGTTTTTATATCTAAAACCTATTCCTGTGAATGAGTTGCTTTTCCTCCTGCTCCATCCCCATGGAGATGGAGAACAGTTTGTCATAGGAACAGGGAAGGGTTAACTTACATGCCATGAAATGTTCTGAGTTTTATATATATGGAGAAGACCCAGAAATTAAATTTTAATAGGCCTCCAGATTTGGGCAGCAATCAAAGATTTTCTCTATAGCAACAATTACACACACCACTGATCTGAGATCAAATATTTATGTCTTCCCCTACATGCTAGAGGACTAGCATTTTGCTAGTTACTGTTATTACCAGGGCAATTCAATAGAGGGCAAAAGAGACTAAAGATGTCATTTCACAGTGGAAACTGTAAGAGAAAGCAATAACAAGCCTGGAAAAGATTAAGCACAATTGGAAATGAGTCTAAACTGAAATAAAATACTGTATTTGAGTAGATTTTTTTAGGGCTATAATTTTAACTTCTACTAAAGGACTGTCGTTTCGCCTATCACTGAAACACACACAAAAGAAGACAAAGAAGCCTGATGCTAGCAGGAAGCAAAAGCTCTCCCCTATTTCCTAAAAGTACTTTCTTTTGTACAACTGTATTGTTTGAAGAAGAAGACTCTTCCATTATGCCTTGGGGGAAATGTAGCCATTTTGAAAAAATGAAATATAAATTATACTTTCCTTTGGAAAAACTTTGTGTCCTTTGGCATTACTAACACAGAAAGCAGTAACAGAGTAAATTCTGCTCATACAGGACCCCATCAGGCAATACCAATGTCTCACTCACTTTAACAGATGAGAGCTTTCTTTACATTGCCATCATTATCACCACCACCACGATGACCACGTTACCAACTGCTATACTGTAATATCTTTAGAGATGCAATGTTGCAGTAAATTCCTCCAAGCCAGGTATTTTTCAGGTACTATTACAGAGCTGCCCTTGAAGAATTTATGATTTAAGAACTTATATTAAAGTATCATATTGCCATTCTTTCATGGCTTTATTTCTTTTCTGTTCACATTTCTGGTGATTTTATTTGGTTCCAGGAGGGCTGTGAAATTCAGTTATTTCTTCCCATTTGGCTTCAAGTATAGAACTCAATGGGCCTCCCTAGGACCTCTTCAATCTCCACTGGGGCCTCTAAACTGGGAATTGTTCTGATGAGGATATGGTCCCTGGGCAAAATACTTGTATAATCTGGATGGGAAGACCAGAGGCAAGAGAAGTTATCTAGGAATAGAAGGCAGTTCTAAGTAATAGAATAACATGCGTGGGCAGAGTTCAGAAGGAGAGAATATTAGGTCTGCTGGAGTCTTTAAGGGCTCCCATGTGGCCAAGACTGAAGGAAAGTTGATCTCCAAATGATGTGAATATCCAATGTGAAGGCTAGGAGGATGGAAGGGGTAAGGATGCTCATGGAGCAGTAAACACCTCTGTCATCTCTGATGTGGTGTCTATGAAGGCAAGAAATAGGAGATAAGATTGAAGAAGGAGCTTGTGAGAGTCCTTGAGTGAATGCTGGGCTTAGAGATTTGAACTTTATTTTCCATTCATGTTGGAATTGAAGATTTCTAGAATAGGGAAGCGACAGGAGGAAGATGATATCTTAAGAAGATTAATGTGGGAGCAAAGTGCGGAACAGATGTGAGAGGAATGGAAATTCCCTCCCTGGAATGGGAAAACTCACTAAGAATTCCAAATGCCAGGCATCACTCATTCATTAGCGAACATTTGTTGTTTATTATGTGCTAGGCACCATTCCAGGTCCCAGGAATACAGTAATGAACAAAGGTGGGTCCAGGGTTTTGTGGGGAATGAAATTCAAATAATTTCAGGAGCCTTCTTTAAGAAAAAGAATACCAAGTTAAAAATACAAAATGAGGATCCTTGAGCATAAGCCTCATGAGCTTCATGGTAAATCTCCATCTGGCTGATGAGATAGACCAGGTATGCTCTCCCTTGAGACTTATGTTCTAGAGGAAGCAGGGAGGAAAGAGAGACAATAATCAAGTAAACAAATGAGATTTTTTTCAGAGAGTGATATTTGTCTTGAAGCAAATAAAATGTCTTGATAAAGAGTAGGGGGTCGAGAAGGGAGAATAAGGATACAGCAGCTTCCGATGGGCTGTCTGGGAAGGTGGACAGCATTCCAGGCAGAGGGTCTGTCTGGGGGACACACTAAGGTAGCGTGACTGAGGAACAGATGCAAACCAGGATGGCGGAACATAGTGAGTGGGATAGAACGTGATGTCTAAGAGGTAGGCAGGAGCCCGGTCATGCCTCTGAGGAGTGTTTCAGTTGTGTTTCAGTTCAAAACTTAGTGTTTTAAAACAATAACCACTTGGTTATTTCACAATTCTATGAGTTGACTGGCCTCAGCTGGGCGGTTCTTCTACTTTACATGATGTCAGCTGGGGCTATAGAGCTAGACAGGGCTGGGACAGTCAAGATAACTCACTCAGTTGTCCATTGCCTTGACAGAGATGACTACACTGCTGGACTCAGCCAGACACTGGCATGGCTGGGCCTCTCCCTCTCCATGTATCTCCTGCGAGATAAGTAGCTCACCTCTATGGCAGCTCATGGGTTCTAGAAGTACTAAAGCAGAAGCTTCCAAGACTTCTTGAAGCTTCAGCCCAGATGTGGTACATTGTCACTTGTGCTGCATTCTGTTGGTTGAAGGAGTGACAGGGCATTCACATTCAAAGAGGATGTGAATACTGAGAGAGATGTTTCACTGGAGGCCAGCTATCACATAAACCATTTACTTTTTAAAGACCACTCTGTGGGGGGGGAGAGGCCACCTGGGTGGCTCAGTCTGTTGGGTATCTGCCTTCAGCTCAGGTCATGATCCTGGAGAACTAGAATCAAGCCCCAGGTTGCGCTCCCTGCTCAAGAGGAAGTCTGCTTCTCCTTCTGCCTCTTCCCCCTGCAACTCCTGTTTTCTTGCTCCCTCTCTCTCAAATAAATAAATAAATAACCACTCTGAGGGCACCTGAGTGGCTCAGTCATTTGAGCATCTGACTGTTGGTTTCTCCTCTGGTCATGATCTCAGCTTCCTGGGATAGAGCACCTCATGGGGCTCTGTGTTTGGCAGGGAGTCTGCTTCTTTTTCCCCCTCTCTGCCCTCCCCTGTTCACATGCCTGCTCTCTCTGTCTCCCAAATAAATAAATAAATCTTTAAAAAAAATTAAAATTAAAAAAAATCTTTAATCTTTAAATAAAAGACCATTCTGGCTGTGGAGAATGCACTGTAGTAAGACAAGAATGGAAGCAGAGAGGCCAGGTAGGAGGCAATGTCCTGGGAAGAGATTGTAGTTGCCTGAACCATGGAGTCACTGCGGATATGGACAGAAGTACACGGATTTGGGGATAGGGTGGAAGAGGGTATGTTCACCCAGTAGTTAGAAGCATGTCTATCTGCCATATGCTGAAATAAAAAGAAGAGTAAGGTGTTTGGATGTTAGTCATCAGGGAGCAATTGAGGATTTCTTGAGTGAGGAATTAGTAGAAGGAAAGCCGTGTTTATAGATGATTCATGGAGGGGTGCCTGGGTGGCTCAGTTGGTTATGTGCCTGCCTTTGGCTCAGGTCATGATCCTTGGGTCCTGGGGTCAAGCCCCACATTGGAGGGCTCCCTGCTTTGGGGGGAGTCTGCTTCTCTGTCTCCCTGTGTCCCTCCCCCACTTATGCTTTCTCTCTCTCTCTCAAATAAATAAATAAAATCTTTTTAAAAATTATTTATGGGGCAGTAGAGTGCAGGAGAGGGAAGAAACCTGAGATAGGAGACGAATTAGTGAGTTCGTTCTTCCCGTGGTCCAAGGCTTAGATGGTAAACCCTTAACTGTAGTGATAGCAGGTAG